GGATCCATGTATTCAGGTTTCAAAAACCTTTATTACTTCTTATAAGAATAGTTGAAATTAGTTTTCTGGGAAGGCAGAGAATGCTAGAATTTTGGTATGTATTGAAATGAAGTGATTTGTAGTTATATTTGGAAAATATACCCTGGTAAAATTAGTACGCAAGGACTACTGGAAAAGTATCCAAGAAACAGATAAAACTCTTGATATTTATAGTTTGATTTTTATTTTATAGACTATGTTATTGCTTTATAGTTAATATATCTAATGGAATATTGTTATTTTTAAAACATTTAAAATGTGTAACAATCGTAACATATTAGCATTTTACCGAAGAGTGCCTGTAGTTTTACTTTTCTGCACTGAAAGAAGCCTATCACGTTAATGTATTCTTCGAAAACAGGGGTTTTATCATGTTCACAGTTGTGTCTTTAGCTTATTGAACTATGCCTGGTATATAAGTGTTCATTAAATATTTTTTGACTATTTCATAAGTCTGTCAAAATTGACATGTGTTAACTAGTTTAGTGTAATGGGTTAAGTAAGCCAGCAAATGTGGAACCCAGGCTATTTGGAGTCACCTCTTGGCCCGGTCACTTACTCAGTGTGAGACGGGGACAGATTACTCACCCTCTCTGTTCCTCACTTATCTCACCTGTAAAGTCGGGATAATAATATAACATAGTTCAAAGAGTTGTTGTGGGGTCAAAATCAATTAGGTATTTGTATATGTAAATATATATGAATTTTGTCTGATCTAGAAATTGGAATTAGCTATTTATATAAATGTCTTCCCTGGATGATTAATCTCACCTGACTAGAGAGAGGGGCATATCTGTATTAGCCGACCATTTAAGGACTTCCTTCTGCTCTCTTTGCTCACAGACAGAATGCAAGCTCTTATTGTTTCCTACTTTGAAGACTAAAACTTTCCCCTTTTTGGTCTTCCTTTAGGTATACAGTTGTTTTAATCTTTTCAAATTATTGCTTTGACTCCTCTGTCTGCTCACTTTTCTTTAAAAAAAAAAATTTTATTATTTTTAATTATTTATTTAACTTTATTTATTCATTCATTTATTTTTATTTTGACCAGAGAGACACACATAGAAAGAGAGAGAAGGTGAGAAAGCAAGCCACCAGGTCCAGGATTTGAACCATGGTCACCCATGTGGGAGCATCCAGCACCTTAACCACCACGCCACCCTCTCCTCTCACTTTTGTTGGAACCCTTTAATGATTAACCAGTGAAACCCTTCTCAGAATAATGTGTAATCACCTAAAATAAAATACAAAGTAAACCAACAAAATATATATACATATATACACACACACACACACACACATATATATATATATAGAGACAGAAAGTGAGAAATCACACCCCCAGGGGAGATGGCCACACTGCAATCCCTTCTCCATTCTCCTCTCGGGATCTTGGGCACGCGTACACACGCACCCGGCGTGAGTTTAAGCCACCGGGTCCAGGACTTGAACCGCAGTCGGTTTCATGAGAGTTCAGAGACATATCCATTATGCTAACTGCTGGTCCCATAAACCAAATATATTAAAATACAGTTATCTGTACCACCCTTATAGCCAGGTGGTTAAGGGAGCAGGATGCCATCTGGCCAGCTGCAGTTCGAATCCCAGCCTTGGTAGGTTGAAAAGCATGCCGACCACGTGCACAGGCTTGCCTCAAATCCTGAGGGGATGGAAAAATGGAGAAGGGATTGCGGCATGATCTTACCCCATGGAGCATGCTTGCTTTCTTTCTCTCTGGTGAGCACATGCACACTCTGGCAATTAAATATATATTTTGGCTATTTTTACTTGTTTATTTTTCCATATATATGAATATTTAAGAAAATTTGGTACTTAATAGAAATTGAGATCTTGTTTTATTTTTGATTCGTTTGGCAAATCTTACTATTGAAGAACATGGCAAATGTCCCATCCGATTGAGTTCTTTCATAGTTCTCCTGCGGTGCTTTAACATTGTCAAAAGATCTTATAGATTTATTTGTTTTACTCCTGGGAATTTCATCGTTTTGTTTGTCAATAGAGTAGTTTCTTCCATAATATCTGCTAATGATTGTTTTTTTATATGTGAAAACTACTAAAGCCTGAATAATTGTTGTACTGAACGTCCTCAGGGTTTTAGTAGTGTTTCAAGTAATTTTCTTACGTTTAAGGTGTATATTGGTATAATCTAGGAAGATGACACTTTCACTTCTTCCTTTGCAATTTTTAATATTTCCAATCTATTTCTTTGTCTAGTTCTGTTGTCTAGGGCATATTTGTATTTCTGACGTAAGTGGGAAAAACTTGACTGTCTCTTGATTATGTATGAAACCGTCTTTTTTGGCTGTGCTACAGCTTATTTTTTAAACGGGCGTCCATCTCTTTCTACTGGGTTGTTGGGAAAGTCACGGCACGGTTTTGTATAGAAAAACATAGAAAAACATGTCATGACTTTCCCAATGACCTAATATATTACCAAGATTTTTAAACATCAAAGCTATGTATTAAAATTTGGAAAGCATGCAAATTTAAAGAATTTTGTAAGTGACTCTGATGAATTATATTAATACAGTCCTACTATGGAACTATACTTGTATTCCTACAATAAACTGCACCTGATCGTGTGTTCTTTCTGTCTTACAGATATTTATTGTTATTGTTAATACAATTTTGGACTTTTATCTTGTTATCTATGCATGAATTTGTCCTATGCTTGTTTTTGTTTGTTTGTTTCTTGTCTTGGTGTCTTTAGAAAGGCTTTTCTAATTTCATAAAAATAATTAGAATTAAAAAATATTTTGGGACTGTTCAATATCAGTGAGACTATCTTTCAAGGTTTTATAGGATTTCTCTGTGAAATCATCAAAGCCAGGATTTTGTAAAGATGTAACTCTGACGTATTTTTCTCTTTCTTGGTGGAAAGGGATTTATTTGGATTTCTTACATTTCCAGAGTCATTTTAATAAGTTATATTTTCCCAGAAAATTATCATAAAATTTTCCCTATTAGGGTACCCATTTTTCTGTTTTTCTCAGGCATTGGGATCTTGTAGCCTTTCTATTCCAGCTGCCATACCATCACTATTGCCATCATTTGGGTTTTGTTGCCTCTCTTCTGACATAAATCCTTCATCTTATCTTAAAGCCACAAGCATTTTTTTTTTATTTTGCTACTATCCATAATATACGTGAGGATGTCTTCAGAAAGTTCAGGGAACATGTGTATCATGAAAAACTATGCATGGATTTCAAAATTATTTTGTACCAAGATAAACCTATACTTTAATTCCATGTTCCCATGAACTTTTTGAAATACCTCATAGGTTGTTACTAGATTGGATTTCATACCTTATAGCATCAATTTTTCTTTCATTTATTTTATAGCATCTGGTATAAGGCAGGCTTGTAGAGAAGACCACAGGCAGAGCCCTAATCTCATGGAGCTTGTATTTTAGCAGACAGTATCAGACAAGTCACAAATAAACATGACTGAAAATATATCAGATAGTGATAAATTATGAAAAAATGAATAAGAAACACAATAAAGGAACCTAAGAGAAGATATTGGGTACCATTTTATATAGGGTGGTGAATGTTGAACCGGGACCTGAAACTAATGATAGGAGAAGCCAGTAGGGAAAAGTGTTTGAGGCAGAAGGCTTAGTAAGTGCAGTGGTCCTGAGATGGGACTGACTATGCTTGTCATATTTGAGGAACAGCAAAGAGATCAAGAGTAGAGTTCCAGAGTGAGCTAAGGTGGAAGTAGGAAACAGTGATGTCATTGAATTGTCAGTAGCGTGTGTGATTGGAGGAACAGGGATGATAGAGAGAGAGGTGCCATATCACACAGGACATTGAAGACCATTGTAAGGACTTAAAAGTTTTATTGACTGACATCGAAAGTGGTTAGAGTTGTTTGTTAGTTTGTTTTTCTCTTTTTCCAGGAGAGTGAAATCTGTAAGAAGAAGGGAATTGAGAAAAATAGAAAGGCAAGATATTTAAGGGATATAGAAATGGAGGATTGTCTATTGATGACAATGTGTATGATGGTATCTTTAACTGTGCTGGTGTGCAGTGTATTCATACTGGGAAAATTCATTTTACAAGCTGTGGTGATGTGCAGTGATTGTATAAAATAATAATGAAAAGATTACCACTTTGTGGAGACTCAACTAAAGCGGGCTGTGGAATTAGTTCAGGTGAGAGACAGTGTTAGATTACGTCATGGATGCTTTACTAAAATTTGGGAGAAGTGGTTCAAATTTAGTTGTGCTTTGATGGTTGAGCCATTAGGATTTGTAGGTTATTTGAACATGGGATATGATGGGAAGAGCAACCTTTGATGTCCGCCTTGGGATTTTTTGGTATGAGCAACCTGAAAATATTGCTGCTATTTACTAGAACAGGGAGCACTGCAGAAACAGCAAATTTGAACTGGACATCAGGACTTTGGTTTTGGGCATGTTACAGTTGAGAATGTTACCTCAATGGAGATGTGGAGTAGTAAGTTCAATATTGGATTCTTAAAAGCAAGTGTTTATGAAAACTTCAATTGTCATTTTTATGGGTAAATTCTGAATTACTAACCTCCTAGTCAAGATCTTTCATCTGAATCAGTCTATCGTTTGAGTTTTGTCTTATACTTTTTCCTTATATAGACCAAATCAAGCAGGTTTTATTATTTATGGACTGTTCTAGACTTTTTCCACTTTGGTGCCTTTGTCTATGCAAGTCTTCATACCTGGAACACCTGCCATCTAACTCTTTCTACTGGAATACTATTGAGTCTTCCTAACATTATGCATATAAGTGGAGAGAGAAAAGAGCAATGGAAAGGCAACTTTTTTGTGCAGTTGATGACAGTGAACAGATGCCTCACTATTTTCTTTCTGTGTATTTATTTTAACCTGCGACAAAATGTGCTTCTTGTTTTTAGTGATATTGAGGGGGAGAAGTTCATTTTCTTTTCTTTTTTCTTTTCAGATGGGAACATTTAAAGCACATGATGGTGAATACTTCTTAGAACCTATAATGAAAGCAGATGGGAGTGAACATGAAGATGATCATAACAAGCCACATCTTATATACAGACTGGAGTTAAAGAAGAGCTCTTATTTGCAATCTCATAAGCCTTGTGAAGTTTCAGGTAAACTATGAAGTAAACCTGTTCAGTTGAATTGTGATGATATTTAAATATTTTTATAGATTAAAAGTTAGATATTTCCTTAGCTCTTTTTCTTTACTTATTTATTTAACTTAAACATCTGTTTTCCCCCAATGAACAAATATTTCCTATATATCATAAAATATTACATGCATATTTCAAATAGTAGTAGACTACAAAGATTACATTTAAGTTGAAAATGTCAGTGTCAATAATATCACCTTTCCAACCCTGTTACTCACTTTTATTTCTTTTTGTAACGTGTTTATTTACTTTTTCCATGAGCAAAAGAGATCAAGAGGAAGCGTAGGATACTCAGAATGGATCACAGTGCCCTAAATAGGGTCTTAAGGCTGTCCTCTACCCCCAACCTTCAGTCAGTCCTGGATCATGGGCAAATGTGTCCCCTTTATTCTCAAGGAGGTCTCCAGACCTGAACTGAGAACTTCCCAATGTGGGATTGCATCCCAGAGCATCCCGTTTTACTGCTGCACCACTCTCTGCTTAAACTTTACTTTTTAATTTTTGAGCGTGACTTTTTTTTTTTCTTCTGGAGAGTTTTTAGCTATATGGCGCGCATGCTCGCCAGAAAGACTGAGAGAGACAGAGAGACAGAAAGCGAGAAATCACCCCCTAGGAGGGATGGACACTTGGCAATCCTTTCTCCTCCATTCTCCTTTCGGGATCTTGGGCACGCACGCACACATGCCCAGTGTGAGGTTAAGCCACTGGGCCCGGGACTTGACCCGCGGTTAACTACATGGGAGTCCAGCAATGTAGCCATTATGCCAACTGCTGGTCCCTGAATGTGCCATATTTTTAAAAAATTTCATTGTGATTTTTAATTTTTATAGTATAGTCGTACATATCTGTGGGGTGCAATGTGGGTTTTCAAAAGTTGTACAATGTGTATTTATCAAGTCAGGGCAAAAATCTATCTTTTCCCTCAAATTTTATTATTATTTTGTATTGTGGATATTTGAAATCCACAGTTCTGGTTATTTTGAAATATATCTTGAACTGTCTCCAACTTGCTTTACTTTGGTATGCTATCGTGTTCTATAATACATTTGAGTACTGATTTATTTTTAATTGGCAAACATTACATACTACATGTTTTGAGATACGCGTGTATTGTGGTGTGGTTCCAGATATACATCATCTCAGATACTTCTTGTGGTGAGAACATTTAAGATCTAGTCTTAAGCAATTTCCAAGAATACAATATGTTGTTATTAATTACAGACCCCGTGTTGTGCAATAGGTCTCTTGAACTCCTTCTGTCTGACAGATTTCTTACCCTTTGACTAGCATTTCCCCACTCTCACCCACCTCTAGCCCCTGGGAACTTCTATTCAACTTTTCTATCAGTTCAGCTTTTTTAGATTTCACATATAAATGAGATCATTATGCTTCCTAAATATGGAAATATAAATTTAAATTTGTCTTCCAGTCTCCCAATGTCCAGTTAGGCATTGTCTGTAGGTAACTTGAAATTTAAATCTAAAGAGAGATGCAGTGTATGAGATTCTTTAGGAAATGATCATGGAAAATTTTGATCTGTTAGTACTGTTTAATTTTCTCAAGAGAATTTTAGATTTGATTAAAAAAAAATAATAACTAAAGGCCAGATGGTAGGACATTGTTAACGTGTTGCTCTGTAAGGCTGGACAACATATGAAGCTCCTGGGTTTGTACCCCAAGGCCTCTCTATATACACTGAATACGCATGTTCACCCTGATCCTGTCTGGCTGAGATGGAAAGGAAATCACGGTGTGCAGATCCTATTGGGGATGTCTTCCTCTCTCTCTTTCTCTGAGAAAAATAAACAAACTTAAAAAGAAAAAAATGAACCTATGTAATAACATTGCTCAATTATGCATGTTTTTAACTATACACATGAACTTTGAAAATTTCATGGGATGAATTTATTTTGGTACAGAATTTCTAAAAACGTTATGTATAGTTTTTTCATAATAGTCATTTGCCACAAACTTTTTAAGATCCCTTCTATAATTGAGAATATTTTGTATATCCTTTTTGCTCATGCTTGTGTCTGAGGTTTATCTATTTTGTTGCATGGAGTAGCAGTTTATTCATTTTCAGTGCTGTGCAGTATTTCGTTGAGTACATCACAGTTCAGGTATCCATTATCCAGTTGAACTTTTGGGTTGTTTGCAGTTTGGGGTTATAATAAGCAATACTTCTGTGATTTTCTTGTCTTGTCCCATCTCTTTGAGAGGTTCTCCATGGTATGTTCATAGATACTTGATAATTCCACATTGTTTGCATCAATTTTATAGTTTTAGCAATACATGAAAAGGGTATATTTTCATCATTTTTTCCTATAAAGTTTAGATGACTGAAGCTTTTCAATAGGTTAGAATCTAGGAATCATAGATGTTTACAAAATACAAATCATCACTAGTAAAAATCTTCACTTGTATATTGCTTAAAAGTATTTAAGAGTCATGTCTACATGTGTACATGTATCTTCACTATTTATAGGACAACATACAACGATGTGGTGGAGGAAAAAAACACTGGCATTTATCATCAAAGTACAGAATCGAGACAAAAGAGTGGGATTAGAAGGATTTATTTGCGATTGTAGGTGTCCGTAAACGATGGAGTGGAGTGGAGCTCCAAGCACTGTGATGCCATCTGTTTTGGGATATAATGATATGTAGGCCTTTGAAGGTTTTCCCTGGGAATGCACTTCTTAACCTTTGCTATTATAACAGTGCCATTTTGGAGTGGTTCTCACTGTGTCTAAGGCCGTGTTTTAAATCTATTGACATAATAGATGCCTTTCTTATGCTTTTAATATGAGCATAAGGGTTTCATTTTTATGGCTTCAAAGAAAACACAAATGGGTACAGCTTCACAATAGAATTCTACAGAAGGCAGCTTATGCTTGTTCTGATCTACCATTCAGAAGCAGCTTGTTTAATGAATTGTTTAGCTTCTTAAGAAGAAAACCACCAAGTAGACATTCTGAATGCATAAATGTTTCACATAATGATATGCAGGGTTTTGCATTCTCAATCAGTGTTCATTATCAGCAAGCAAATGGTTCAAGGAAAGCCTGGCCCCTTTGTTTTAAAAAAAAATTTATACAACAGATTTTTATAAAAACTGCAAATGGAAAGCTATGGGATTTTGTTTTTTTACACACAGTGCACTTTTTGCCAGTGTTTACTTACTAAAATGTAAAACTTGGTATCCCTTCTTTTGAATTCTTAAGTTATCTCCATTTTAAAATATAATTAACATATACATTTTTAATCACTAATAAAGGCAATTAATTAATGCCCCCTAAAATAGCTATTAATCACCATTTTGTTAGTGTAAGTGGAGAGTTGTGAATATAATTAGTAAAATGTTCTAAGGATTTGTTTCCTTCTCAATTCATATACTATTGTCAAGAAATACTTACAGGGCTTTGATATTCTTCTTCCTTCCTTTCTTCTTGCTTTCTTTTTCTTTTTCTTTTAAAAAAATTTTTTATGTTTTTTTTTTTTTCATAGAAATTGATGTGTTAACTGGAGAAGGGGGAGAGAGAGAGGGGAGAGAGAGAGGGGAGAGAGAGAGAGGAGGGAGAGAGAGAGGAGGGAGAGAGAGAGGCAGGAGAGAGGAGAGAGAGAGAGAGGAGGGAGAGAGAAGAGGAAGAGAGAGGAGGGGGAGAGAGGAGAGAGAGAGAGAGGAGGGGGAGAGAGGAGGGGGAGAGGGAGAGAGAGAGAAAGTGAGAAAGTACCTCTCCTCATGAGGAATGGTCCCTATAACCCCTTCTCCTGCATTTCCCCCTCCTTTTGGGATTTTGGGCATGTAGTCATGTGCATCAGGCATGTTGTTCAAACCACAGAATCTGGAGCTTGAACTATACAGTCAGCCATGTGGGATCCAGTTGCCTTAATCACCACATCACAGGCTGGCCCTGATCTTACATATTCTAATGGGAGAAGTTTCAAGAGGATCATTCAGATAGGTGGGCCTACACATTTTGCGCATAAACTAAGGTGATTAAATGGACAAGGAAAAGTGGCTTAATTTTTCATATTTCTATCAATGGTTTTAATTCATTATTACCCTAACATGTTGTGGTTCATGCAATAGTAACATCAACCTTGATCAAATAGATAATTTTTTTTTTTCAAGGTCGGAGTTTGCCATGTGCCTTGAGGCCATACAAATTAGATTGGTAACTAAACTAGCCAATGTGAATACCAGACCCTCAAGATAGCAAGCATATTCTAAGTAAAATATAGTAGAGATGTCAAAACAAGCAAACAAAAACCTCAGAAAATGAGTAAGTATCAATTGAACATTTCACAACCACCTCTACCAAAACCAAAACTAAACAAAATAAGTAAAACCCAAGAGGAAAGAAACCCTGAAAAGATTGCTGGAAATGGAGAGGGGAAAACAATCTCTGAAATCTGCTAGGTGTAGTTCTGCTGGTGCTTATTTTCCTAGGGCAGATCAGAACTGGTGTGGGATCATTTCTTCTGTCAGCCCCCACAGCCTTGCTCACGGCAGTAAGGGTCAAGGATGGAGCATTTCTAGAGCAAAAAGAGAGGCCTGAATGCAAGGAAAAATGAAATGTATTTAAATGGGTTTTAAGATAATGTTAACCAGTTTTAATTTCATGTGTGTGTCCCCTGAGTTTGTCTAAATTTATTTTTATAGGCTTCAAGTCCCTACTATCATAAACTATTAAAATTGGCTAGAGCAGGGGTACAGATTAGAGGGAATGTAGCTTTTGGATCCTCAAAGTCCTGAAGTGTGTGGAGAAGAGTAATTTATGTACTGTTTGAAGAGAATAAGGTGCAGTTTTGTGAGAAGTGTGGGGAGTCTAGAAAGGTTCGCACGCTGAAGCCAAATCTAAAAGGACTTTAAGGATTTTGATGGCTATCTCATAGGCATTGGGAAAACAATGAAATTGAAAGCAGAGATATCATATGATTTTCTTTTTAAAAAA